ACCTATCTAGGAAACACTGTTTCAACTACAGGCAGAACAGGCACAGACGAGGATGTCAAAGTCAGCCAGGATCGGAAAAGCAAGACAGGTGTTCATTAGCCTGAAATCAGTGTGGAGATCTTCTGCACTCAGCCTGTAATGTGAACAAGATCCGGATTTTCAACACCAACTTCAGTCAAGTCAGTGCTTCTGTATGGTTCAGAGACTTGGCGGTGCGTTACGAAATGGATTTCCAATAAACTACAGACATTCATCAACAACTGCCTACACTGGCTCGTTACTGAAGATCAGATGGATTGCCAGAATAATGAGAATAAGCAACAAGGAGCTCTGGGAACGAACCAACCAAGAACCTATCACTCAACAAATATGCAGTGGGAGGAAGTGGAGATGGATTGGGCATGCACTGAGAAGGCCGACTGGGGACAGTACGCATCAGGCCCTCGAGTGAAATCCCCATGGGAAGTGACGAGTTGGACGTCCCAGCTGAGGGTGACATGGAGGAGATCGCGCGAGGAGGCTGTTGTGGAGCCAGGTTGAAAAGATTTCAGAGAAGACAGTGTACTGGAGACGTGCTACTGAAGCTGTATGTTCCACTAGGAACCCAAGGGACTAGTAATAATAATATGATACATAGCCTAAGTGTATAACTCTCGGTATAAGCTGTAGACAGATATAAAGTTCATGATTGGAGACTGCGTGATAAACAAAGTTAGCATCGTAGAATCTGGACAAAATGGCCTAGAATCTATCTTCGTGACGTAGACGTATCCGAAGATCACTTGGGCACTGTGCTAGAATGGAATAGACTTATTATCAAAGTTGTGGAGTTATCGTGATCCAACCTATAATCTGAAAAACAGTCGTTCATTAACCAAGGACAGATTGACTAGATGGAGAGTGCAATGACAACAAACAGCCCAATTTCACTCCAACAAAGAACATCTTATGATTTGACTGAAGACAATTTAAGGTTAAAGAGATCAGAGTGTGATAACAAATTTCTTCTCAAACTTACAGTTGGATAGCATCCAAAGTGAATAAAAAAAACTACATGACATTCTCATAAAATTCGAATATGCTTAACTTCTTGATGAAGTTTGTGCTGCAGATGTCAGTAAGCCTGGTAATGAAATGTCCACGACAAAATATCGAATATTAGAGAATACCAAACTAAACCATCATCAGGTGGTCTAAATTTTTAATCACAACTGAAACCAAATTTCGAAGACCATATGAACTGATATCACACATTACTGTGGTCGCCTTTGACATTGTCCTGCTACAGTTTACTTCAACTTACATTGTAATTCGTAAATTGGGTACGTTTTTAGGTACTGATGTGGTAGTTCTATATTGCCCACATTTTTGAAGGGTTTCTTTTCTTGTATGAAAAAGATGATAGCCTTATTCTGGGGTCAAAACGTATGACGATCGCATGAACATCATAGCTCCCTATGTTGCTCATGAATAAACATCAACGTTTGTACCACTCACTACTTAGATCTACTCATCATCTATACGCCTGATACATGACACCATTGTAATACCATTGAGAAACGATAGATGAATGCTATGAAAAATAGTCCGGTCAATGAACAATAACAATCTTGGCTGAAAAGTCAGGTGGTATGACTTATTACCCCTTGGTATTTAAGCTTGTACTGCTGTGTAGGTAAGAGTGTACAGTTCTATTACTATGGTTATGTTTGCAGATAGAAATATGGCGTTGATACGTCTCCTAATGTACCTTCATTTTTAGTTGGTTTTTTAAAGAGGAGGGAATAAAAAACGCTGAGCAAAGAGAATGTTTACCTGAAAGGCTATTATAAACTGAAATATAATGATCTAAAAATGATAGTTATTGTATTTTCTTGTATGTCTTTTCTTAAACAAAGTATGTTTGTTTCCTTTTGAAGTTTTTCGTCCCGTAATTAATGTAGAGTCTACTTGATGATCAGTCATAGAATCCAAGATGCGCGTTTCTTTCAATTTCGGACTCATCACCTGGTCGCACCTGCACCATAGTGAGTAATGTGGTTCGCGCATATATCTGTTCAATATCCAGAGGGCTATCATCTAGGCCAATGCGGAACGATAACCCCGTGTAACAAAAAACGGTTCTTGTTTATTGGCAATTTCAGTTGCTCGTCGCTTTACTGAGTTAAAATGCCGAGTCACTTTGGCAGATGAGCTCCTAAGCGGATGCCGTGATACTGACTGGATATCCATCATATTGCACTATATTGTAGTTAATAATGTTAATAATAAAAAGTTAATGGCAGAAAGAACGCTGAAGATAGGACTTCCTTGAGGTCAACGTAGAGAAGATAGAGGCGACGATGATACACAAACACCACCATCAACAAGCACCAATCACCATCAACGGCAGAAATCTAAAGGAAGTAGTCTCTTCCACCTACCTAGGTGAGGCAGCATCTTTTCAATTATAGACGGCGGCACAGATGAGGATGTCAAGACCGTGATCGGAAGGACAGCAAGACATACCTTCATTAATCTGAAATAATCAGTATGGAGATCTACTGCACTCCACTCCGCTGCACTTCGCTCAGTAGAAAGCGTGAACAAGATTCGGATTTTCAACATTAATGTCAGTCATGTCAGTGTTTTGATGTGATGGTTGGGAGACTTGGTGCGTTACAAAAAGCGTTTTCAACAAACTGCAGACCAACGTTATCAACAGCTGCCTGCTCACTTACTGAAAATCAGGTGGCGAAAATAATAAGAATAAGCAATAAGGATTTCTGGCTGGCAAAGAACCAACCAAGAAACTATCGTCCAATAAATAATGCAGCAGAAAGGGGAGATGGATTGGATTGGGCATACACTGAGTAGAGCGTTTGAGGACACCAAGCACTAGATCAGGTCCTCGAGTGGAAGGTAATTGGGAAACGTCGAGTTGAGCGTCCGGGTTAAGAAGACTACAGAGAAGGCAGTGAAATGGCGACATGCTATTAAAGCTGTGTGTTGCACTAAGAATTCAAGAGATAGATGACAATAATATTAATAGGAATGGAGTTGTCTTCTGGTTTCATTTAGGGTTATCCAACGACCATGTCTGAAGTTGACATATATGCGATGTCAGAGTATATCTGAAATAGGTCTAGTCGCCTTCTTAAGTGCTTAGACCTTTTAAATGCATACTGCACGATATTCACTTTCATTTTATTTAGTACTGAACACTGACTGAATCTTTTTGAACCTTTGTAATTTATTCACCAAACTAAAAGCCTCACTACGGAGTTGTGATTCGACTAATAATAAGTGGTTAGAAGTTATCAGCAAGAGGCCTTCAATCTAGGTTCCATACTTGATGGCAGTCGTCAGCAAGGCATGTGTGTGATCTTGCTTAAAATAGTGTCCTTTAAGAGACTTGAGCATGTTAGTCACAGCCCAGTGGAGCAGCATTGGGTGGCATCAGTTCGAGTCTCTTACTGGACATCACTTTTTCCATGGTTGTTGATACACTTTTATGACAAGAGCTAACAAGCATGAAATGCAGGTTCAGAGCATCCTGCTGATTATGCGCAGCCCCTTAGCATATTATTATTATTATTATTTGTCCCTTGGGTTCCTAATGGAACATAGGGCTTCAGTAGCACGTCTCCAGTGCACTCTCTTCTCTGCAAACTTTTCAACCTGGTTCCACGACAGCCCACAAGATATTATTTCTTCCTCATACGTTCTCCTCCATGTCACCCTCAGATGGGACCCCAAATCGTAACTCCCCATTTGGGTTCCACTCGAGTGCCTGTCGCGTAATGTCTCCAGTCGGTCTTCTCAGTGTATGCGCAATCCATCTCCACTTCCTTCCAATGCATATTTGTTCAGCAATAGCTTCTTGGTTGGTTCCTCGCCAGCCAGCCAAAGTTCCTTGTTGCTCATTCTTACTATTCTGGCCATCTGATCTTCAGTGGCGAGTCTGCGTAGGCAGTTATTGATGAATGTCAATGGTTTGTTGGAAATGCTTTTCGTGACTCGCCAAGTTTCTGAACCATATAGGAGCACTGACTTGACTGGCATTGGTGTTGAGAATCTGGATGTTGTTCAGGCTTTATGCTGAGTGCAGAAGATCTCCTCACTGGTTTCAGGTTAATGAACACCTGTCTTGTTTTTCCGATTCTGGCTCTGACATCGTCGTCCGTGCCACCTGTAGTTGAAACGACGCTGCCTGTGTGGTAGGTGGAAGAGACAACTGCCTTTAAGTTTCTCCCGTTGGTGGTGACTGAAGGTTGTTTTAGTTGTTGGTAGCGTTGATGGGGTATCTTCATGATCTCTGACTTCTATACGTTCACTTGAAGCCACCTAGCAAATATCAGCGTAATTTTGAGCAAAGAGAGATCAGTGGTCACACAGGATTCAGTACCAATTCTTAGCCTGAACAGTTTATTTTAACTACGATTCCCAGTACTCAAATTGGTCCTGAAATAGTTGTCATTGCGGTGCCTTATTTTCAATTAGTGATAAAGACAGGGAGACACACTAATGCAATAATATTAGTACATGGTAGGACTCAGTTACATATGTTGAATATATCAGAATAATTGACGAGATACTTTTTGTTTCAGTTACCTATACACCACAGCTTTCCTATAAGATATATTTACCAATATGAAGAACTTGATATTTCTCCTGTAATACAGATCTATCCTTTTGTTCAGCAGTTAAGAACATTACATCTGAGGTGTCTGGACAGCAGATAACATCTGTCAAGCAAAATAGTTATATTATACGCAAAAAATATACTGTTTGAGCCATGGCGTAATTATTCATTCGAAGAGATAAACGATCACCGCTGGCTGGTAAAATATTAGAAACTGGTATTTCACCAATTTGTTCACAGTTACATTAAAGACTTGAAAAACAACTAATCAGCGTGAACAGTAACCATTTTTACTTCTTATTTAGTCACCCTTAATTTTATGAGATAACAGCAAGTACTACTATACGAGCAACACTAAACTTTTACCAGTACTTACCGATACGCTCGACGATCCGTACAGCTAAGCTCAATGCCATTTCCACTATCGATTTTCATATTTAATGACAAACTTTAAAACCACAGTAATATTCTATCATTGAGGTTGTGTTTAACTAGAGTGTTAACTGTATGCCATAGACACATCGTGTCAGTAAAAGTGTTTATTGTGTCTATGCATCATGCACACTGATGAATAACCAACGAGAAGTCTAGAAAACGTGATGAAAATGAATGGTTCATACATACTTGAGTTACTTATAAGTAGTTAGCTTGTTTTCAACAAAAATAAGTCGTCTTATGTTAATAATTGATAGTTGGTATCTGTCTAATCCACGACGCGCGTTTCATCCTGGTTATTATTATTATTATTTATCCCTTGAATTCCTAATTGAACATAAAGCTTCAGTAGCACGTCTCAATTGCACTCCGTTCTCTGCAATCATTTAAACCTGTCGCCATGACTGCCTACCAAGCTCTCATTTCTTCCTCTCACTATCTCTTCCATGTCACCCTCAGCTAAGATGCCCGACTCGTTATTCCAATTTGGGTTCCGCTTGACGACATGGCCTGGCGCGTGATGGTTTCAGGTTGATGAACACCTGTCTTGCTTTTCCGATCCTGGCTTTCACATCCTCGTCCGTGCCACCTGTAGTTGAAATAACGCTGCCTGTGTGGTAGGTGAAGGAGACAACTTTCCTTCTCCCATTGATGGTGATCAAAACTTGTGGTTGTTGCTGTCGGCGGTGGTGGTGGTGTTGGTTGGGTATCTTCATCACCTCCATCTTCTCTACATTCAATCGAAGTCCCATCTTCATTCGCTGCCTCACCTCTTCTCTCAAATTGTTAGTTTTCCCCTGTACATCCTCGAGTTCGTGTGACACTAGACATACATCATCATCATCATCATCATCGGAGAAATCCAAGTCTTCTAGATTCTTTTCCACAATCCAGCTAGCGTATACCCCTCTTCTCGCTCCTCACTGTTTGTTGCACAATACAGTCCACTACAATCAGGAATATCATGGGTGATAGTAGGTGGCAGCCTTGTTTTACTCCTGTCTCAACTTCACTTCACTTCAAAAGCATCACTGAGCTTCCCATTGTGAATTACTCGGCATGTGGCGTCTTCATATAGCCAGCTGTTGAATGAGATTGATAAATGTTTGTGATATTCTGTAGTGTTGAAGCGACTGCTTGCCGAATTAGTTGTCGGTGGACGGTGTCGAAGGCCTTTTGAAAGTGTATGAAGTTGAGGTAGAGTTTGGTTGACTGTTATTCTATGCTCTGTTCTATGATGATGCGTGGCGAATAGTAGCAATTTGGTCCGCATATGATTTGTGCTTCCTGAATCCATGTAGCCTGTTCTGGTCGTAGTTTTGAATCCAGTGCATTGTTTAGTCTCTCCACGAAGATACGGCATAATATTTTGCTTGGGGTGAACAGGAGCCTGATTCTGCTCCAGTTCTCTGTTTAGGACTCATCAGATATGGCGTGCACTGTCTTCTAGCGAATGATGTTGCTTTTACTAAGAAAAACTCAGAACAAAACGTTAGAGCGTTATCCACCAGGCTACTGAGTCAAGATAATCACTTTTTGTGAGAAGGATATAGTATATTTTTAAATATTATTGCTACAAGGAGCAACAGGCTGTTATATCTTCTAAAGACTGTTATGTGTTTCAATAATGTGTTGCATATTTTTGATAATTTGAGGTCTTTTATGAAAGAATCCAAATTTTCATGTGGTAAATGAACATGCCCAGCAGATATTATTCACTATGAAGATTTTTCGAAACTGGTGACCATATTACATCAAATGGTAGGTCAAGTGTATTTTATCTTTATCTCATGGAACTTTGGTTTTACCCTTTTTAGTAATCCCTTATTACCCATCTTCTCAGTCAAGTGTGAATCAGGTAGATTGAAAAATTTTTTTTACCAGAGGGATACTCTTATTTGTTAGTCATAGAAACTTGTAACGGTCAACCAATTTATACTGGTTTTCTATTGATTAATACCCTTTTACTTTGAGACAAGGCGTGTAAACTCACTGAATGTGATAAAAATGTGCACTTCTTCGGGATTGTCCACAGAAAGAAGTACTTTTCAGTGTACGCATAGAAAGATAGAAGGATATCTATCAACCAAAATACTAACTAATCATTGTGATTTTTGGGATCGATAGTTTTACGGTTGTAAATACTAAATTCAATAATAACCCTAGTAATAATAATAATGACAAACAGGGAAATGTAGTATTGGTGGATGATTGTTGATTGGCAGGCGCAATACATGTCCAAGCCACCTAAGTCAACTAATGTTCACAATCTCATTAATCAATTTGCAGACTTTTCTTAGCTATAACAGTTCGCCTGACCTCAACATTGCTTACACAGTGGTCCCTCTACATGTGAGCGCCTGTCAAAGTGTGAAAATACAACCAGGTTTGAAACTTGGTTGATTTCTCGAGTTCGTTGTTCTCAATCTCAAATCAGGTGTCATATAATCTGACCTGAAGATCTTGGACATAATACAGTTCAAACTAATTTCACTATGATTGTCAAAAAAAGACTTCTTTTCCTTCTTATAGACTGGGATGATGAGAGAATGAGACCAGTCTAGTGGAAATACCTCTGATTCTCATAGGACTTGTCGGATTTCCATTTCATCTTCAACGGCTACAATCACAATGTGATGAGAACCAATTATTCGTGAGAGGGCATCTGCCTGGTCTAAAATATCTGTTGGTTGGTACTGAAAGTTAATATTATAAACGAACAGTATGGTAGCCCACCGATGCAGATGATTTGCAGTGTAAGCTGAGATATCCTTTCTGGAGCCAAACACTGTTAACAAAGAGTTTTAATCCGTCAATAAAGTGAACTGTCGTCCATATGCCATTCCACGAAACGTTTCAACTGAAAAAGTTCTGTTATAGTTGTTATATTCAGTTATCAATGAGTAGGAGTTGTGAGAGATAGCCTTCTCAGAACGATCTTGGAAAAAGTATGATATTTCCACAGTAATGCCATAATTCGTAGTGAGTGAAGTGCACCTCTGTGGTTAGTACACTTTCAATCATATCAAATGTCTTCCGGTACTCAGTTGGTCAATTTTATTTTACATTCTTCATTAATAGTACATTGCGGAGGCTGCGAAGGCGATGAAGACCGAGTAAGACTACACTACGCTGACTTACTAGCCCCATGAATGAAAGTGATTTGATGACATCATTCAGACGTGGCGTATACTTTATCTGATCAATATTGACTAGATCTGAGCGTCTCCCACTATCATCTACAATAAATCTAAATAATTAACTTTTTCTGCGCAAAAGTCTCATTTATCTCTTCAAAGCCGGGACCTACATTTCGTGGGGTGCTTGAAAACTAGATCACGTTTGTGCATTAAATACTTTGGTTTTCCTCATAAGGATTGTGTCATTTAAGTAAGACGATTATATCTAGTCACTTATCAGTACTGATGATCAGAAGGTCCTTGCATTCTTCTGTTGTAGTAATTTGTAAATATGGTTCGGAAAAGTCCAACTTTAAAAATTTTTATCATTATTCAGCTTTGTAAACAGATCTTCAGGTACGTGCAATGGATACTGATGATCCTTCAGATCGGCATTCAGTCCTATAGACTGGTCTGCACACATAAGTATAGTGCTATTTACCTTCTTTGGAACAACAGTTGAGGCTGGCTATGACGAAACATTTGATGGCTCAATTACACTTAACTGTGTGAGATGTTCGAGTTATCGCTCCATATGTTGCTGGCCTTCTTGGCCAGAACACAGGCCTAACTTCTAGACGGAACATGAGGACAGCTTTGAATTTTATGCATTCTCTCAGGCCGTCAGAGAATTCGTTATTATTATTAGTCCCTTGTGTTTCTAGTGGAACATAGGGCTTCAGTAGCACGTCTCCAGCACACTCTCTTCTCTGAAATCTTTTGAACCTGGTTCCACGACAGCCCACAAGCTCTCATTTCCTGCTCGCATGACCTCCTCCATGTCACCCTCGGACGTCCAACTCGTCGCTTCCCATGGGGATTCCACTCGAGTACCTGGCCTGACGCGTGATGTCCCCACTCGGCCTTCTCAGTGCATGCCCAATCCATCTCCACTTCCTCCCACTGCATATTTGTTGCGTGATAGGTTCTTGCTTCGTTGGTTCGTTCCCAGAGTTCCTTGTTGCTTATTCTCATTATTCTGGCAATCCATCTGATCTTCAGTAACGAGCCAGTGTAGGCAGTTGTTGATGAATGTCTGTAGTTTATTGGAAATCCATTTCGTAACGCACCGCCAAGTCTCTGAACCATACAGAAGCACTGACTTGACTGAAGTTGGTGTTGAAAATCCGGATCTTGTTCACATTACAGGCTGAGTGCAGAAGATCTCCACACTGATTTCAGGCTAATGAACACCTGTCTTGCTTTTCCGATCCTGGCTGACTTTGACATCCTCGTCTGTGCCTGTTCTGCCTGTAGTTGAAACAGTGTTTCCTAGATAGGTGAAGGAGGTTACTTCCTTTAAGTTTCTCCCGTTGATGTTGACTGAGTTTGTTGTTGTTGTTGTTGCCGTCAGAGAATACTGTGGCATATCTCAGTTGTAACACACCTGTTAGCTCCAGATGGATATATGATTTCATGATGGATTTAGGTTGCTTCATAACTTGAGTCCAGTTGAAGATTTTATGATTTAACTAGACTCAAGTTATGACTTGATTTTTGAACCACTTCGAACAACTTCAGTTTTTCTATCCAGTCTAAACCAAGAATACCTAAAGGTGATCGATCTGTCAGGTATAGTATTCTAGTAGACGTCTCAATGCCATAAAAAACAGTAAAGTGAACTTACAAGCAATATGTAAGTGACTCTTTGATACACTACGAATAACCTCAGTAGTGAGTCTGATCCACTCTTTTATAATGCTATAACTACATCTGATTTAAAGTTTTTATGCAAATGCCTATCTGAGTACAACTCTGATTGATTTCGGCTTTAAACTTTGCAATTTTTCTCTGTATGATCTCGTTCAGAACACTTAATGC